ATGTTGTTTTTGGGCGGCCTTGTTTTCACTTGCCTTCAAGTATCCATCTTATTGCTACTCTGGTGATGGAATCAGTTTCCATTCGAAGCACATGACCGACCCATCTCCAACGCCTCCTGGCAATGATGATGCTCAGATCCTCTTGGCTGCACTGTGTCAATAGATTTTGGTTTGAGATTGTTCTGGGCCTAAAGATACGGAGGATTTTTCTGAGGCAGGTTGTATGGAATGAAGACTGTTTGGACATGTCATACTTTCTCATTCCCCAGCATTCTGCACTATAATGTAATATTGAAAGTATGCAGCTCCGATAAATCTTGAGTTTGGTTTTGGTGTTGTATTTTGATGATTTCCAGACTGTATTTATGCTCCTGAAGGTGTTCCTGACTTTATTGATTTTGTTCCAGATGTCCTGGCTTGTTCCACCATCCGGGCTGATGGTGCTGCCAAGTATGTGAATGTTTCTACATTGATGAGAACATAATCCTCTATCCGTACTGGTGATGGTGAGGCAATATTAAAGGTCATGATATCTGTTTTATTGCGGTTGATTTTCAATCCAATTTGCTGGCTGAATGCGTTGAGTCGAGTTGTTTTTTCTTGTATATGGTGTTGGGTATGTGATAGGAGAATGACATCATCTGCGAAGTCCAGGTCTTCAAGGGCTGAGAAGAGTGTCCATTTAATGCCTCTTGGCATGTCTTCTGTTGTACGCTGCATTACCCAGTCGATGGCAATGTTGAAGAGGATTGCACACAACACACCCCGACGTACTCCTGTTTTGACTTCAAAACTGAGCTCACTGTGATCAACACTGCATGTAAAATTGAAATAGAAGCTTTTGATAATGTTGATTATACGGAAAGGAATTCCATATGCCCGCAGAATGCGCCATAGGCTGGACCTGTGAATGCTATCAAAAGCTTCTCAAAGTCTATGAAATTTATGTAGCGTTCCTGTTGCCATTCTAAGCACTGTTCTATTATGTTTCGTAGAGTGAAGATCTGGTCTGTGCATCCACACCCTTTCTGAAAACCAGCTTGCTCTTTTCTGAGAACGCTATCAACTGCCTCTGATATATGCCGGACTATGATCTTACACAATACTTTGCTTGGCACAGATAAAAGTGTGGTACCACACCAGTTATTACAATCACTGAGAGTTCCTTTCTTTGGTATCTTCACTATAACATGTTCCCAGTTAGACTATAATCGCATAAAGACCATGCTTCCTAACTTTAAGTATAGCAGGCCATAATTTAACACCTTTTTTTTTTTTAGCCACCAGACAACTCATTTTCTACCTTTCTCATTTTCTTGTACCTCTTTGATATCACTATATATAAATATTATATCGTAGTATAGAGAAGGTAGATGCAAAACTTTTATTCACTCATTTTCATATTAGGAATAAGGGGACAGTCAATTAAAAAGAAAGATATCAATTTTAAAATTGATCAAAGGAATAGTTTTTCCAAACGGGAAGATTTTCAAAGGCACAAATGGGAATCTATGGAGATTTGGCACCTAACTACTATTCATGCTTTTGAACCCCATCCCACACCCACCCACACTGCTTAACTAGCCTGGGGAATTGATTGCTACCAGATATTATTTGTATTATCATAATCATAGGAGCCTGCACCATGGACAATGACCCCGATCTGCTAGGTGCTGTACAAATACAGATCAGAAAGACAGGCCCCGCTCTGAAGAGCTTACAATCTAAATATAAGACAACAGATGGATACAGACTGATCCATAAGGGAATACAAAGACGCACTGAGACAATATTGGTCCACATGGTGCGGTGGTCTGAGCACATTAACAGCCTAACCAGTGTCAGGTTTTTGTGTAGCCTGGCAAAGGAGAGGTTTATGGTAGGATTTGAAGGAGAATAATGACATGGCTTTGCGGATCACTGAAGCCAAGCGTTTGACAGGCTTCCAGGAAGGATGGATAACAAGAGTACTCAGAGTTGTTTTTCTAAGGATTAAAGAAGCAAGAATTTTTGAAAGAATATGTTTCAGGGCATAAGTAAATCTCTCTTGTAACTATACAAGTCCAGCTGGTGAAAACAATCTCAGACACAATGAAATGAGTTACGTGTGAAGTGCTGAGATCTCAAATGTGAAATTATGCAGAGGCTGCAGTAGATAAAAACAGCCCATTGTGTTATCAGGGGTGCACTTTGCATTTGATGAATGCTAAAAGAACCTTTAGCCTTGGAAATAAAGAAGATAATTTCTCTCCAGGTAATGGCTGCTCATGCAAGTCATAAAACAACCGCACCGGAGTCCTAATTTTATAGTGCTTTTTAAATGATTTTGAAATGGTCCAGCTGCTTTGTGCCACAGTGACACAAGGCAGAGATATTCACACTGCCGATAACAAGCATGCATACGCCTGCCCAAGCTGCTCCCAGCAGGCAGTCTGCAGTAGCTGTAATACATATGGAAAACTGGTACCTGCCAAAGTTGATGGATTACAATAATCTCTTGGTTAGACCAGTCCTGTGAAGTTGCTTTTCCACCAGACACCTGGATATTGCGTCTTGTTTGGGGCCGATCTGTGAGCCACGGGTCATGCATTGCTTGCAATTCTTGTTCTATTTTAATGTGTGACAGGTTGCCAACTATGTGTGTCTCTGAGGCCACGCTGTCCTTGAATAACGGAGCAATTTGGATACACTGGGCCTGATTCATCCCTGGGTAACTCCATTGGTTTTGTTGGGTTGACAGCAGGAATGAATTTGACCCATGAGTTTAAATTCATACTTTAGCCAGTTTCCATCTGTATAGAGGTACACACAATGCAGATGGATGCTGCTAGATACAGCTCTGCTAAGGTCTACAATCCTGACCTATAACTCCTTCCTGCTATTCCAACATTGGTCTTCCAGGATTTCAGTTTAAGTCGGCAGAGGTAGAAGAACAGCTTGGTAGCCCACTTCCCCACCTAGCCATGATGGCCTAGATTTTTATAGGTGTCTAGGCGTTGCCGTGCTTGGTGTCACTTGGGAGTCTAAATTCCCTCAACAGTCAATGGGAGATAGATGCCTTGTGCCTAAATCCCTTTTGAAAATTAGATGTAGGCTCCTATGTCAGTTAGATGTCGCACTGCTGAGCCAAGCAACACATAAATACCTTTACAAATCTGGGCCGGCGACTACATTTTTCCCATGCCAGTTCCAAGATGGGAACTTGTGGGGTCAGGGGGTGGGGAGGGAGAATGGGGAATGTAGACGATCCTGTGAATTTGGGGCATCATTTGTATTTTCTTTATCAGTGCAGTTCTCTGTCTCTGTGCAAGGGGCTGAAAAGGGAAATGAGAGATGCCTTTCTGCTGGGTAAGTAGCGGAGCTGGGTGGAGTGCCAGTCTTGCTTTGTGTGGTGTTTGTTTCCTTTAAAAAAATGCAAATTAATCTCCTCAGACCTCAGATTTTCTTGCACTGCTGGGTCCCATGCTACTTGTGTCAATATACTCAAGAGAGAATTTGGGGCTGAAATGGTGAACCTCTGGGATAAAAAGAAGAAGAATGTATGGCAATTCTAAGTAGGATGCTCAGTAGCTATACAACTGTAAAGTGTTGGATGGGATTTTCAAAGGGGCCAATGCCTAATTCCTATTGAACGTCACGGGAGCTGGACAACTAACTCTGCTTTGATCTGCCAGCCATGATCTGTAGGGACATCGTATTTTGTGATTGTTACACTTGGTTTTTACTCGTTCTGTGGTCCCCAATTCAGCTTTTGTTCTCAGGCCCCTATGCAGCAGAGCAGTTCAGCATGATCTGTCCAAGCCCTGGAGCAGGTACCTAACTTGGTGGAGCAGGTGCCCATTTCTCACTGAAGTTAATGTTTAAGTGCTGAGCTGACAGGGACTACTGACCTGGGGCCTCAGACCTTAACTTGCAGGCGTAGCTCATGCATGTTGAGAAGTGAGGATGGGCAAGTGGTTGGAGAAAGACCCAAACCAGACTCCCGTTTAACTGAGCTGAGTCAGAATATATTTTAAGGTTTGGTTTTGTTCAGGAAACCAATTACATTTCTCCCTGTTTATCTAATACAAGCTACTCTTTGTTCTGAATTTAGTTCAGACGAATGATGCAAAATTGGCAGTTCTGGAGACTGAAGTTCTTTGTTTCCCTGCAGAACAACTACAGCATGGGCAGTGGCAGTGCATTCTTCCTCATGTCGCCCGGCTGATGCTTCTCAGTTATTTTCTTCTGGGGCGAGAGGGGAGTTCAGTCTCCACAGATTGTGGGGTCTTTGGCCTCTCAGTTGGGAACACCAATAAGAGTGAAAAATTAAGCTCTAGCACTGGTGGTGGTTTCAGTAATATGGAATTTGCCCAGTAAGAACTGGAGCCTACCACCTTATTTTCCATAGGCTATCACACAGCCATTGGTTGCTAACAGTCTCTGGTTACTACCACCTTGGCTCACCATTGATCACTACTACCTTGAAATGGCAACAGTGAGGACAATGGCTCTGTATCCCACCCCTAATTAAATGTTTAAAAATGCCCTTTACCCCCCACCCTCCTCTCCTTCCATCCTTATAGATAGATATTTGGCTCTTCTTCAAAAGGCAACTGGCCCTTCATCCTCACCTGGTCCTTTCCTCTGTCTCCCCCACCAACTCACCTGCTTTTCCCATCCACAGATCCTCCCCACAGCTGCACTCTGCCTCTGCTGCTGTTGGAGTGGCATCATGCTCTCTAAACTAGGTGCCATTTCTTCAGAACGCCTGGTTGTGGTGTTTTGGGGATCACCCAAACCAGTAAGGTTCTGTCACTGCCTGCCCTCTCATCTTGGGTGCCTTCGTGCTATGCTGCTGTGTCTTAGAGCCCTGACACCACTAGCCAGACCACGAGTCTAAAGGTCTCACCTTGGCTTCCACCAGCCTGGTTACTCTTTGCAGGGTGACCCCAACAGCTTTTCTGGCCCCGAGTCTCATCTACCCCAAGTTAACTATCAGACACTCCGACTTTTTCCCTTTGGTTCATCACCCCTAAAGGCATGAAACGAGCCCCAGAGTGATCAGTTCCCTTTGGCCCACACAGTCTGCACACCAGAGGCCTGCTTGAGGTAAAAACAAAGAAAAGGTTTATTTAAGAGAAATATCACAGATTCAAAGCTGAAGTCTGAAAGAAAAGCAAACACATACAAGTTACACAGAAAATAAACATAAATACACAACTTCAGGCTTTATGCCTCTACATTAGACAAATCCCCCTTTCCAATATGCTACCTATTGCCTCTGAAGAGTTTCCTGGCATGCCATTGGTCTTAGAGGGAATTTCATGGATAGCTTCCTGCATCTCAGTTTCTGGATAAAAATTTCAGATAAAGTTTAAGGGCTTCCACCCCCTCCCCCACCCTCCCTGTCTTTTTTCCCTTCCTCTCCTGGCATGGTGACTCATGGTTATTTAGGGTGGGGAAATTCTAGCCAGGATGTCTCCGTGTTTTCCTATTAACCCTAACGGCCTACCATTTGTCTGCTCCTGGATTGTACAATGCTAGGTGCTTGGAGCTAGTCTTGTCTGGTTGGGGAGGCAGACCATCCCTGCCTGCCTGCCCACTCCCTGTTGTGAGGTGGAGATGAATGTTGCAGCACAGATTATGATCACCATTCATATCTAACAAATACTTAAATTCATAATCACAGTCCATATGGCTCATAATGACCAAGTTCTGAATGTTACAAGCTTTGGTAAAAGACCTTACTTGAAATATTTTTATACACAATAACACTGTGTGATTCAATCGTTTGCTCTTTTGGGTTCTGCTCTCCCCTTAGGGTGTCGGGACTCTGACTATCACAATGATGTATTTTTGTGGTGCCTCTTAGCCAAGGCAGTTCCACAAAATATGGGATCACAAGGCAAAAATGGTCAAGGAAGTTGAGATGCGGCGGTAAAAGGGCTGGGATCAATGGAAGGTCTGAGGATTATAATTTGTTTATATAGAACCATCGGTGTGTCTGGTGCTTTATAGGTGAAAACAAAAAGAAGAAATCTCTGTCTTAAGGGGCTTATGTCTTATGAGATAGAACAGCAGGACCGCTGACAGCAGGGCTGGCTCTGGCTTTTTGGCCGCCCCAAGCAAAAACAAACAAACAAAAAAAACGGGGCGGCCAGAATGGCAAAGCAAAAAAAAACCAAAAAAAACTTGCGGCGCAGCCGGAGCGCGGGTGCAGGGGGACCGGCGGGGGAGGGGGGGGAGGGAGTGGGCAGGAGAGAGAGAGACGGGGGCGGCCAGGGCTACAGCAGGGGCGCTGCCATGTGGCCCGTCCCGCTGTGCCGCCTCCTGCTGCGAGGGCTCCGCTCCGGTCGGTGGGGAGGGAAGGAAGAGTACTGCCCTGCAGGGCGCTCTGGTTCTCCGCGCCACCGCCCCCTACAGGGCAGCCGGAGCGGAACAAGAACAACAACAACAAAAAAACAAAAACAAAAATAAAACGGCTGTGCTGCCCTAGGATTGGGCAGAATGCCACCTCGAACAGTCTGCCGCCCCAAGCACCAGCTTGCTCAGCTGGTGCCTGGAGCCAGCCCTGGCTGACAGTGACAAGGAGGGTTTGGGGAGCAAAAGGGTTGGGGCCAGGGAGAACACTCCTTGGAAGATATAGACTCCCACAGGCAGCAACCAATGCTTGCTTTTTTGGTGTTTGTTTTTTAACATAATGACATGAATAGCTATTTTTATTATAGAGGGGAGGCTACCGACTGGGAAGGACAGCTGCATGGAGTGGGATTGGCTGGGGAGCAATTGGCATCTGGGCAGTAGTGTCATCATTGCTGGTGAATCTGTAGTTGGTTTGCATGGCTGTCACGGCTTGCAGTGGATGGGAAATATAACCCATCTGAAAGCCTAGATGTGTAACTGACTCATCAATTCACTTCAGTTTTATGTGAATTAAAGCAGGAGATTGAAAACTGATTACGGGGCAGAGAGGAAAGCAGGTTATGCTGTACGCAGCTGTCAGGTCATTCTTCAAAGAAGCATTGATAAATGTCAGGAACCAGTAACCCCCAGATCTCTGTTTTAAACATTGTTTTCTGCATCTGAGAAATTCTCCTGCAATAACCAGATGTATTTGCAGCAAGGCTGACACTGCCCTGATCCTCATCAAATGAGAATAGAGGCCCTTTCACCTGGGTTTTTTTTTTAAGAAACTTGATATTTGCTGAATGGAAAAAAAAGAAAAAGTGAGTCACTCAGATAAAACGGTCAAAAGCAAAGCTTTCCAAAGCACAGTGTAACTGTATACACGTTCCAAATAAATGAAATTTCCGCATTAAAGTGACACTGTATATATTTTCCATAGCACGCCTAACAACTGTACTTAGTTGCTCTATGAGGGTATTAAAACACACACAGTGCAGAATTACACAAGAATGTCAGGTTCTTTGAAAAACAAGAACACCCTTCGTAACCAAATATATCCAACAAACCAAGAACCAGACACAGGGCTAGAGTAGTTGCACAATGCAGACTGCAGCAATCTCAGGATTTGATGGACAATCAGAAGGTGTGAGCTCCAGGCTATATGTGGGCCAACCAGCCTCTTCCAGGGAGAAGTCCACAAGAGAAGAGAGTAAATTCCCTAAGGTTCCACTTGCAGAGTTTCCTGTCAGTTGTGCCTAATAGGGTGTGGGGGAGTCATCCCAACCTCATAGATCCTAGTGATTCATGGGAAAGAGACTCCCTTCCACCTCTGAATCCTTGTGTGGTTTTCTGTGACATCACAGCACTGGTACTGGCAGAGTCTCCCTGCAGCTGCTGAGCAGCAGGCACAGAAAGGAGACAGAGAAAGTTTGAATACAATTTAATGCAGAAATCTGGGCAGGCTGCTGTGGATGGTGCCAAGGAGCATGTGGCCACTCCCCAGCTCCACCCCTAACACTCCATGAAGTCACAATGAAGGGGCTTCTATAAGGTGTTGGGGCAGTGCCAAAGCAGAAACACTGCCAGCAAAAGAACTACCCATGGAAATACCCCCAGGTGAGTTCATGGAGGGTTGTTCCAGGCCCACATTAACCAGGGATGAGTCAAGTTGTTTGACATTTCAAATCCATGAGAACCCTGTGAGTTTGCAAGTTTTGGTTCAAATGTGAAGGAGAGGCTGGAAAAGGAGTGGAAAATGGGAGCGAGGAAAAATATCCCTAGGGGAAAATGGAACAGACAATGGACAGAGTACCAAGAAAATACAACACAAGGGTAAAAAAAAAAGGGGGAGGAGAGAGTCTCTGATTTGTAAAAGATGTAAGTACAGTGCACTTGTAGCTTGCAAGGCGTCCACTCAGGCCAGCCTAGCATTTGATAGATTTTTCTCTCCTTAATATAGAGCATAAATGCTGTCATTTACAGAGAAATTCATTCCCCCCCACCTTTTTGAATTGACTGTTCCTTTGGGGGAGCAGGGGTGGGAAATGGGGGGGGGAGGGAAATGGGGAAGCCATGGGTTTAAATTGTAGAAAAACCAAACATATATATATACACACACACACACGGCACATCCTCAAACTCCATGAGAGGAGAGCCACCCATCTCTAATATCAGCTAAAGCAAACTGCACCTGACCAAGAATTAGGGTTGTTGCAGGTTCTCTTCACCCAGGATTACTGCGAAATATGGGATCAATCCCAGAAGGGCAGCAGATACAAATGGAGACTCAATAGGTGACAATTATCCCAAAGATCAGGATTATTCAGATCAAGGTTAGAGTTAAGCCAGTTTGAGGGAGAGAGGAAATAAGATGTGAAATTCAGAGCCAGATCCAAGTTCAGATTATGAGATCCCCATCATAAAATTTTGGAGACAGGTAGGCTTGGTACTAGAATTTTGGTTCAGATTCATTTAATCTTTTTACTTCCTTTAATACTGTGGGGCACTTCATATTTTGTAGTCACTATTGATCTTTTTTCTTCCCCCCCAAATTATAAGAGCTCACACAGGTTTGTCCTGTCTCGCAATTCAACATCTAGGTCGTGTAGCTGTTTCAGGAACCCTCGGTTTGGTGAAATGGCTCGGTGCTGGATGACACGTTGGACAGCATCGGTCAGTGAGAAGTGATGGTAGATCATAAGGTAAGCCAGCACCAAAGTGGCGGATCTGCTTTTACCAACAACACAGTGAACTAAGATCTTTCCTGAAAAAGAGAAACAAAGATGAATTGTGCTGCTCCAGTCTGCTCAGAAGTGTCACAATGGGTCTTGGGCCGCTCAGCACGTTGATCATGGACTACCCTAGTTTTCACCTCTTGGACACTGCTTTGAATACATCCCGGGACAATGACCAAAAACCATTCTAATGTGATCGTTATTCATCCTCCAGTATATGAAATAGGTTGCGGGTCTCAGGCAAGTTAATTCTGGACAAGTATCTCCTGCTCAAAATGCAGCGCTATTATGTGGCATTGTTGGCAGTCTTGGCAGAGAAGCCAAGTACTCATTGAAAGCATCGTCAATGCTTTCAAATCCAGAAGCATTCCCTCAATAAAGGCACTGAGGAATATTGTAGGGGTATTGTGGGAGAAGCTTGTAGTGCTACTGCTGCTGCCTGTGCCAAACATTTCCTGTGGATAACTAGAGGTCAGTGCTCACCATATGGTGCCTCTCATGGGTGTTTTAAAAAAAAGTATGGCACTCAAGATGCAACTGGGTCACACAGGTTCTTATACTGGCCTTACAGAGCCAGTGCCTATTGTGTTTCACCATAGCTAGTGCAATCTCGCAGCATGCAAGAGGACTCCTACTAAATAGAGGGGGTCAGACTTCAGAGTCCACGAGATATTAGGTATCTCTGAGGTAGATTCCCTCCTGATTCACATCATCTTCTACAGAGCATGGCCCCTGAGGCAGAAAATCTTCTCAGAGGGCAGGGGAGGCAGTGCTGGCAGAAAGTAGCCCCAACCTACCTTCCATTAACAGGCCTAAAAGGAGCTATCATAGCCCAAAACTAAGCTTGTGGTGGTTGGAGAATTGGGTGTGTCTAGGGTTGTAGGGAGGTGTGTTTATTCAGCACATCCCTACTGAAGCCTCTGTCAGAATCTACAACTGCCTTCCCTGGTGGATCCTTTTGAGGAAGGTCACGGGGGGGGGAGGGGAAACACTGTCTGCTTTCTCCTTTGGGATGAATCTGCTCTGAAGTACAGCTCCACCATTGGCTCTTGGAGGTGCAGTTGATGTTAGCTGGGGTGAATCTAGCCCTCTAAATAGTACAGTGATCCATTCCATAAGTGAACAGTAATTACTGGTAATGTTGGCCTGTGTCCTGATGGATTTATAACAGAAGGAAACAGCATGACCCTGGACCTTGTCAATGGCTCATTGACACATCTCTCTGTGATAGCTGGTATCACAACATCACCTTATTGCAACATCTGCTCTTGGCTGTTTTGTAGCCAGAGAAGGAGTGATTCATGTGCATTTGCTTTCTGATGAATCAACGCAGAACACTGGTGCCATCATATCCCAGCTGTTATATATTAACCACTCTCTAAACTACAACATCATCCTCCGTAGGCCTTTTTCCTTCTGTTCAAAAAAAGGGAAGCTGGCCTAGTGATTACAAGAGGGCCCATGTGGAGCCTGGATGCCTAGCTTTGCCACTGACTTGCTGCGTAACTTTGTGTGTACTATTTAACCTCTTGGTGTCCCATTTTCCTCCCATCTCTAAAGGGAGACAGCCCATCAGGGCCCTGCTGGCCCAGATGAAAGGAGCTGCAGGTCTGTAGTAGGCCGGTTCCTGGCTGGGACCAGAGGGATGAGGAAAGGTGCGCCCCTCTGGCCAAAGGAGGTTGAAGGATAACCAGAGTTTTTGGTTCTGGCTGCATTGTGTATAGCTGGGTTTCCAGGGGAGAGAGGACATGAGAACCTTAACCCTGAGCTAAGGGTGAAGCTCAAGGATACAGTTAGGAAGAGGCCCAGGGAACAAGTGGCAACTAATTGGATTGAGCAATATGTGGTGGCTCTTTACTGGGTTCCTGGGCTGGAAACCCAGAGTAATGGGCAGGCACGGGTTCCCCTACTGGCTACAGGTAAAGTGATGTAAACCCCAAGAAAGGGATGGAGCTTATTTGGGAGCCTGAACAAAGGGCTGAATTTAAAGGGTCCAGAGCCAGGCTGAAGACCCTAGTGAGGGCAAAATACACCATTTATTTATTGGACTCTTTAATATCCTGGAAGGGGTTCATTCAGACTTTGTGACTTGGCCAGAGGGCCAAGCCATTGAAGACACAGCAAGGCTGGCCTGCGGGGGCCAAGAAAAGGACTGTGATACCACACTCTGCCACTTGGAGGCGCTCCACAGGTGAGTGTGCTTTGGTAGTCTGTCTCCCAGTGGTGTTGGGTAATGTTTGTATGGCAGCTGATGATCCTGGGATAAAAGTACTACATAAGCAAAGAGTATTATCAAGAGAGGCACTTACCGTTCAGAGCACTCAGTGCTTTATTAATGTACTCTGAGGCAGGGTAGAAATGCTCACGCAGGTTAAAATCAGTTGAATCTTCTGCAGCTATTCCACAATAATGGATTTCCTGGCCATAGAAGGCTTGATCTCCTTTACTTTCCCATGTGGAATGTGCCGCATTCAGTACATGGGTGATGCCAAGTTTTCTCAGTTCTTCTTTGTCATGTGCAATCAAGCTACCAAGAATTAGGTATAAAAGGTCACAAGGAAAAGTATTACATGAAAGAGTTTGATGTGGTCAAGTCCCTGATGCCTCTTATTGAGACTGAATGTCAATGAACAGTTCAGGACCTGTTACACTTGGAGATCTGTTGTTTGCATGGCATAACACCAAGCATGAGACAGAAAGTTGTGATTTCTAATCTGATGATTACATAGGAGCTGCACATAGAAAATATGCAATTGCATGTAAATATGAAAAGAGATTTCATGTCTACGAAAATAACCTCCTTCTCTCTCTCTCTCTGTGTAAGTTCCTATGAGTTTTAATGAGAATTAAAAGCCCAATCCTGAGAGATGCAAAGCTGCCTTCATTCCCACTGAAGTCAAGGGGTTTTGTTGGCCCTGAGCACTTGACAAGGAGGCTCACTTCACGAATGGGTTCAGATTGAAAGGACATAGTCAAGCTTTTAGTTTAGTCTGCAGCCATTTCGCCTCGATCTGTAATAATTTCCGAATGCATTTTTGCAGGACTAGGGTTGTTAGCCCATGGAACCTGGCTAAATTCCAATGGTTAATTATATTCTGCCTGCTTAAAATTCAGCAGCTAGATTCATTTGTGGAAGGCATTCTTCATGTTTTGCCCTGAACTGTTGTGCAGCATTCCTCTGCACTGTTCAAGGCCTTCATCCTTCCACCCCAAAGGGCACTGCATTTCACTATGGGTGATGCATGTACATCAATGTAATAGTCAGTTTGTTGAGCACTTAGGATCCTCTGTGATGAACGGCAGCATGTAGCAGGCAGCCATTAGTTTTCTGCTTTAAAGGAGAGAGGTTCAGGTTGTTTGCACAGTATGAGATAAGAAATTTGGAAGCTAGCTTTCAAGATGAAAAAGGCTTTATTAGCAAAATATAGTCTTAACTCTAGATTGTTCTTTCATTTCCACTTGCCAAGCAGCCTCCTGAGTGATTATACAGGGCTAATTCCCAGGAAACAGGCCATCAAAACTGTAAATCTATGCTAGCGCTACGGACTACTGTACCGTATGGCACTGTTCAGATGCTAATTAATCTCCACTGACACAGGCTTGCTCAGAAAGGGCCTGATCCAAAGCCTATTGAACTCAGTGGAAAGACTTCTATTGACTCCAGTGGACTTGGGCTCTAACTTCAAAGCCCTCTATTTCTTTCTCTTCCCCTCCTAAGGTGCTTACTCCAGAGAATAGTTGGTGCTTGTGCAAATGGTCCCACTGATTTCAATAGAGGGGAAAAATCCTGTCTGCAGTTCTTGATAAATTCCAGTTAAACTCTGTAGTTTTGCTTTTTACTAATTTCAATTTTTAAATAACTCTGTGTTCTTCTTCGATATTCAAGATCTGCTGCCTTGTTCAGCTGCTCAGCCCTTTCTGCTGTTGGATCTTTGCGGAGCATACACAGACACTGTTCTCAACTGTGAATGGAAACCAGGGATTTTTTTAAAAATGCTCTTGAAAGAATACAGATTTCCACTGACATTATTAAACCCTTCAACAAAATAAATGCATTTTAAAATAAAAATGCAGTGAAGATGGCCACCAATTGTGGCATGCTGACAGCATGACAAGGCCTCCATTATACCATTGCAGGATTACTGGCCTCAAATCCAACAGGTTTGGAAAGCAGATTAGAACTCATGATTTGCACTTGCAAAATTTGAAACATAAAGTATTGTTTCAATTTTTAAAACATATGGTCTTATTTCCCCAGCACATGCTTGCTCATTATTTTATGCTCTGTTCGATTATTCCTAAGACTTCCAGTTTTCAAATATAATCACAGGGAAATGTGGCTAAAGAATCATTAGTAGCTCCTTCCTTCTCTTATGGTAATTATCTTGATTATTTTGTCCAAATATTTAAGCCTGTTGATGGTGCAGGGGGACCTGTTTGATATAAAAACAGGGCTCTAGACTTGCACAGTTGCAAAATTAATGTTTCTTTATGCATCAGAAAGAAGCAAATACAGGGTGAAATCCTAGTGACCCTGCACAAAATTCATGTCAAAGGGCTTTGTGCAGGTGACCTCTGTAGGGCTGGAATGAAATCCTTCTCTCCCAGTTGTACCATCCCTAATGACACTTCTCTATTACGATTCCAGATCAGGAAGCCCTCCGAGCATGGAATGTTTATCAACCCCAGTGGCAGTTCTGCATGCAAAGGGCTTTCTGGTTAGGACCTAATTTATCCACCTTTGAAATTTAAATGCCTTGATCTAGCAAATAGGTAAGCATGGGAATAGGCCCATTGGGACTAAGCATGAAAAGCACATACTTAAATACTTCCTAAGCAGTAAACACTTATGTTTTCTTTTCTGGATTTCTGTGGCCAACAGTGCAGATTGTATAGTTGATTATTTTAAAGCTATAATGCAAAGAAGTCGGTGTGTGTATTTAAATAAGATAAGAAATTTTGCAGTTAGGAAAGAGTTGAGAAACATCATAGAAAGTGTTAGGAAGGTTATAGTCTTCTGGGGGAGCTGTAGGAAAGGGTTAAATTGGGCTTATAAGAAAAATTTCATCTATCTTAAGGCCTTGATTCAGCAAAGCGGTAAAGCACATGTAAGAATGTGCTTAAAGTTATACATCTTATTGACTTCAATTGTATTTAAGAACATACCTAAAGTTAAGCATGTGCTTAAGTGCTTTGCTGAGTCAAGTTCTAAGAATGGGATAGCTACCACAGCTCCAAAATAGAGCAAAAATATTCCAAAAATAACTTTGTAACAGGGTGCTTGTAGGTCCAGGGGGCCTAATGATTGGTGTGCCCAACTTCCAACCCTTTGTTTCCTTGGTCAAGGTGCCTCAGTCTTTCAGACTGTGCGGGGTAGGGGTTCCGGACCCTCCCACTCCCTCAGGTCCCAGTCCAGGGCCCTGTGTGAGTTGACTCCTGAATAGGGGGCATTCCAAGGAGGGAATCTAAATCCACTGCCCTGGGCTACTTTAGGGTTGCCGGAATGCCCAGTCAAAAAGGGACCCTAGTGTCTCTGGTCAGCACTGCCAACCGGGCTGTTAAAAGTTCGGACAGTGGTGCTGCGGGTCTAAGGCAGGCTATTTCCTACCTGTCCTGGCACTGCGTTGCACCCCGTCCTCTCTTTTGATTATTGAAATATGGTAATCCTAAAAAAGTGGTGCCCTGGCTCGGCAGGGAGGAGCCGCCTTCAGGAGGCACCAGAGAGCCAGAGCGTCGGCTTGCGGAGGTGGCGAGCCGGGAGGCTCCCCCCTCAGGCTCTGCGGCTCCAGGGCATGTGAGCCACGGCCAGGGCGCGGGGCCCTGAGCCTGCTCCAGGAGGGGCAGCGGCGGTGGTGGCTCACACTCCCGGGAGCCGCAGAGCCCAAGTGCAGCAAGGGAGGAGCCGGGGGTGGGCACGGGGGCCACTGCCCACATGCATCCACTGCAGGAGCCACCCGGGGGGGGGGGTT